GAATTTATCTTTCTTATAAAAATTATTTTGCTATGTGAAGACATAAAAGAGAAAGCCTAATAAGTACCATGTAAAATTTCTTGAAAAGTATTTTTTTTTTTTTGGAGAGGTTTTCGCTATAGGGCACGTGTTTTCGCCAGACAGACAGAGAGAGACATAGAGACAGAAGCGAGAAATCACCCCCCAGGGGGGATGGTCACACCGCAATCCTTTCTCCTCCATTCTCCTCTCAGGATCTTGGGCACGCACGCACACGCACCCGGCGTGAGTTTTAAGCCATCAGGTCCAGGATGCAAACTGTGGTCGACTACGTGGGAGTCCAGCAACATAGCCATTACACTAACTGCTGGTTCCCAAAAAGTAAATTTTAACATAAAAAATATATTCCTAAATTCCAGAATTCTAGTATTAAAAAAATTTAAAAAAGAAAATCTGTTGAATTAAATATGTAGTTCTACAGTAAGTAAAGTAGCAATTATGGCATATGGAGAATGTACATGCTATCTTACCCCTCAAAAATAGAGTATAGACTAGTATTATTGCATGTGGAATCCATGTAAATTCTAGATCATCCCTCATCATTTGTGTCTGTTTTAAAGACACAAATGCATGCCCTCTATAAGCGTAAAGGAGCACTGAGCTGGAAGGATTATAGTATGAACAATAAATGAGAGAAAATGGAACTGAGTTTGAAGCCAACATTATCTGGGCCATCTACAGCTTTAGCATGTCATAATTCCCTGCCATCAAGTCTTCTAATCCTTACTTCCTTTTTCTCCTTTGGTTGTTTCAGGCACAAATTTTCCCCTTTCCTGCAAAAAACATGGAAATGAATTATGTTTTTAACAGTTCATAATAGTAATCCATTTGGTCATTAAATGGGTCTACTAGAAATCCTTCTTGGGTGTCAAAGAAATTTATATATAATGCAGAGTATTTCCCTGAAATGGACTGATAGAACCAGCACTGGTTTCATCCTTGAGTACCATTAAGTGTCAAGAGTAGGTAGACAATTCATTTTGTTTGAAGCTGTTTTGGATACTGATAGAAGTTGAATTTGCTTTCATAGTATATCAAACTCAGTAAAGAAATGTAGAAACTTTCTTCACTAGAGTTTTAATTCCTAGCAGCGGATGACACCTGCTCCACTAATGAAAAATTACAATGTTCCACATACCATGACAAATAGTCTAGGTACCTTATGTCCTATAATCTTTATATAAGTGAAATGAAGATGTTAAAAACATATCCAAGTTCTCTCTAAGAGTAACATTCAAAGAAAGCCAAAGCACATGCTGCTTAATATTGTCAAATTATAGTTTGAGAAATTTAGTATAAATGGATATAAATATCAATATACTATAAATATACTATTCAGTTGTCAGGAATATCATGCTGTATTTTCCCATATTTTCCTATGCAAAAATACAAAACTTTCCTGACAACCCAATATTATGAATATAGATAATATGTTCCACATTAAATAATACAGACTTCTTGAATCATACACAAATGACTATGTATCTAATTCTCTTGATCAGTGTAAATGAAACCTTATAGTTGTATTTAATTCTGAATCTCCACCTTAGAGTACAAGACCAGAATCTTCTTGCTCACTGAGTTAAGGACACCATTAAGACCATATGCCAGTGCTGGTATTGCTGATCAATACAGATGTGTCCTGGACAGGCAGCTGTTAACACAAGTGTGCCAAACAGTATTCATTGTTGCTTATTGGTTTTGCTCCATAAAAGCACAGCCAGCTCTTACAGCACTGGGGAGAATAAGGCTCATTAATTTGTACTACATACTTTATACACTCTTCAGGCAAGAAGCAGGTTCTGAACTCTGGAAAGCCATCGTCCATCTGTTGCTGCCTCTGTGGAATATTTCAAAGAAGTTTAAAATACTTTAGAAATAAAAATCACAAAATTAAGTATGAAGATTGTGTAGTTTGAGAATTGGGGGCATAGTTCAAATATTTTCAACATAATTAAAAGGTTGCACCATGTTAAGAAGGCAAAACTGGTGTGACCATTTTTCACAGCTACCTACTCAGGACAACAAACCTAATTGACTGAGAGCTAAAGCAGGCTGACAGCAGGGACGAAACTCTCAGGACTGTTGGGGAAGGAAATGGATGCTACTTAGAATGGCCTTGGCTCCCCCATTCACCTTACCTTCTCTTAGGCTGTGCAATCCCAAGAAGTGAGGCCACTGGTTGAAATAGATTCATCCTAGGGAAGTGTCAGATTACAGAATCTATTGTTTTGTTTTGTTTTTATTTTTCAAAATTGTATTCATGAGAGAAAGCATATGCATATCAGAGAGAGAGAGAGATACCCTTGATGAGGTCTCATCATTCTGCCTCCCTTTCCCACAGCCTTCCAGCTTATCAGGATATTCAGTGTGTCACCCAGTAAGTTTTTCAGGTTGACGGGATCTGAACCTGCAGTTGGTCATATGGTTTCCAGCACTGCAGCTCAGTATACTACTGACAATGCCACCATGTCTGGGCCAACCTAATCTTTCTAAATCCTGGTTAATGTAGGATTGTTATTTACTTTTAAAATTTATTCATGAGAGAAAGCAAGGTACCCTCACAGGGTCTCATGGCATGATTCTCACCTGAGCATTCCTACCCAGTCATGATCACGGTTATATACATGTAAGCCCAGCATGTTCAGTCAACCTGGAAACGAAACCTTGATCTTCCTTATGGCTTCAGTATCACCAAACAGCACACTGCCACTGTGCCACCATGACTGGACCAGGATTATTTTTATGGTTGTAGAGAAGACTGGCAAACCAATATTTTGATCAAAATGTAGAAAACCTGATCAAATAATTCTGTTCCCAGATTCTTTATTGTATAAAAATAAGGCCACATACATTTCTATCAGTTTGTAATAATCACCTGAGACATGTTCATGCAACTTTAACTTGTGAGAGTACGGAATTTGTTAAAAGAGTAAATTTTTCTGTAAGACATTGCGTACTATATACCAGAGTTGTTTGAATATTATTTTAGGTGGGTGCTTATTTCCCTTCATTTCTTTTTCTTTTCTGTGAAGCACTTTTATGCCATTATCATTACTGACCCTTCATAAAAGTGATTTGACAAGAACATCATGTATACTGACATATCGTTGAGTACAAATATTTCTGATTCAACATGATTTAAAGATAAAAGATACCATGCTTTGGAATAATTTGTATTTTTAAAGAATCTCAATCTTAACTGTAAACAAATAAATATATTTTATTTTCAAGAAGGATGAAAATATTGAAGTAAATTGCCCAGAACATGTAAAAAATGTGTATCTTAACTATGGGAATTGTCAACCTGTTTCGTATTTATCATCATCATCAAGGGGAGTTAGTTATGTTCTCCTTTTAAGTCACTTAAAAGGCATAGCAATTACAACTCCCCGGATTAATTTGGCACCTTTGAATGTATGTAATCATGTGTGTACTTTAAAATTCAAAAGTGTTTAAAATTGTTTTATTAATGTAACATAGATATTTACAAGAGCATAATAATATACATTTGTTTTCCTTTCCAAACAAATCTATAATAAGAATGTGTCTTGTGATGGAGGCTGGAGTGTGTTTACAGAATGACTTGCTTTCAAAAAACTCTCAAAGACTTATGGGTTTTATTCATTGTATAAGCGGCTGAATAGCAAAACAGTAAAAAATCACAATGGTAACCGACAGGAAATGGATGTTAGGTTCTAAGACTTGTATTCCTCTGGAGCTCAAACCTGCAAAATATAAAAATAAAACAAAAATATGTTGAGAAAAGTAAAAGTGTATGTTATCAGTAGATTTTTTTTTTTTTTTTGGAGAGGATTTTGCTATAGGGCACGTGTGCTTGCCAGAAAGACAGAGAGAGACAGAGAGATAGAAAGCGAGAAATCACCCCCCAGGGGGGATGGCCACGCCGCAATCCTTTCTCCTCCATTCTCCTCTTGGGATCTTGGGCATGCACGCACACGCGCCCGGTGAGAGTTTTAAGCCACCGGGTCTGGGACACAAACCGCGGTCGACCACGTGGGAGTCCAGTGACATAGCCATTATGCTAACTGCTGGTCCCAGTAGATTAATTCTTCAAGACCTTAAATGCACAGTATCATTTTTCTTCTAATAACATTTTATTAGACTTGTTTCATTGACAATATATTTAATGTTAGGAGGAGATTTAACCCTCTATCCTAGGATATCTGGTTTAAATGTAAAAATGCAAAGAACTATAACTAAATTGTTGAAGTCATCCTGATGAACAAATTAGAGTGGACAACATTGGTAGCTGATGACTTGTACTAAGTAAGTGAAGGATTTTTTTTAATTGCCAGAGTGCACATGTACTCACCAGAGAGAGACAAACATATGGAAAATGAGAAAGAAAGATGGAGAAGAAATGAGCACTCCCCAATGGAGTGTGATAATGCTGCAACCCCATCTCCACTTGTCTACCCTTTTAGGATTTGGGCCATGCATGCACACATGCCCAGTGTGTTTTTCAAGCTACAGAGACCATGGTCAGCCGTGTGGAGTCAGGATCCCTTATCCACTGGGCTACAGAGCCAGCTCATGAGTGATTCTTCTACAGAAAAATAGTCAATTACCATTACATGCTCACTCTGACTGACTGGTATTGACAAGGATTCAAAAGTTATGAATCAGTTTAGTGTAAAAACCATGCTTGATTGGTGATATCTGCCATGAATATGGGAAGAGAGGTGGTATCCCTGCTGTAAGAGCTCTTTGATAGAAAATCTTTATGGTTTTTGTGCTGATAGAATAACTCATAAGATTAGACACAAATGACCCCATGACACACAGATTATTTTCTTTAATTTTGAAATAAGTAAACATAAAATTGCCATTATAATCATGTTGTAACTTTGAAGGATTATTTAAAGAAAAAAAAAAGGCTTATCACCTCTTGTTTACAATTGTAAATGGAAAGACAGGCCTTTTATTTTTTTACCCAGTGTTGAAACAAAAATTGGACACTTTACGGAGCCCAGATTTCATACTACAGCTGTCTAAATGCACTGTGCAACAGCAATGGTGACTCAGCTTACTTGACATTTTCGGAATCCTAATTTCTTCACTGCTGCTCCCATCACCACCATCACTGACTGTTCTTATTTCAATCAAGTAGTCTTCTTCAAAAGGAACCAGAAGCTCAGCTGATGTATTGTTTGTTTCCAAAACGTGAGTCTTACTCTGCCTATTTTGCCGGTACAGGATCTGAACAGAATGGTGAACAAAATTAGTATGGACATCTTGCTTTCCTAAGGGCCACACACTGTTATGGAACACTGAAGACATGTCATTATAAATACTGTACTCCTCCAATAGAAATGTACAGGTGATGGTTTGTCTTTAAATGCAATTGTTCTCGTTAGGAAAAAGATATCTTTTTTGGCCAATACTTCTGAAATGAGACTAGATATATCTTAATTAGTTAAATAGCTTGAGGCTATTATATCTTTGGAGCTTGCTGTGAAAGTCACTGTTTAGTTTGAACCATTTCAAATGTCTGAATATGCAGGTCTGCCAAGAGCTGATGTGCATGAGATGTTCGTGACCACTGATGGAAACCGTTTGCTCTGGCCACTTGACTGTGCTCCTACAGTTTCCTTTTATGTTGTTAAAAGATCACATCATAGTGCACACAATGTTCTAGGAATTCTATTTGATTTATTATTTAACTTCATTCTCATCTCCTATCTACTATCTTTATACACAGTCATCTTTTATTGGCCAAAGGAATCAGTTGATGACAAAAAATATGCATTCTATAGAATTTCATTTTTGATACCCCATGACACATAACTAGACTCAGAATATATGGGTTCTGCAAAAAGTTCATGAGAAATGTGTATTATTAAAAAAAGCCTTTGCATGAATTTCAAAATTATTTTAAGAATAATTTTATTTATTATCATTATTATTATTATTATTATCATTATTTAATTTGACCAGAGAACGAGAGAGGGAAAGTGAGAAGGCAAGTTGCCAGGTTTAGGACTCAAACTGCAGTGGGCCATCTGGGAGGCCAGCACCATAACCACCACACCTCTTGCTCACCTCAAAAATTGTTTTTGCATCAAAATAAACTCAAACTTTAATTTCATAGTTCCATGACCTTTCTGGAGTACTCTCATATAACCTCTTTTTCAACCAAAAAACTTGAAAGCAGTAATGGCAAGTATTTTTGAAACAAGTTTTTAAAAAGATTCCTGTTTTTATATGCATAAGTTTGCTTTCTATATGGTTGGGACATGTCTGATCCTTTAGTACTTTAATTGATATGATTAAAGGAAAAACTAAAAACTCACCTTGTAGCCCAACACTTCAGACTCATTTTCCATGGTTTTTACATGCTCCCAGTTCAAGCACAATTTAGAGTTTGTTAGCTTCCAGGCAATGTTTGCTGGCGGTTGGCTTGGAGCTTTAAAAAATAATCAAAGATTCAAACAAATATTAATGAATTCCTGGTTACTGTATTATATTTCAAAATGAAAAGGAAAAGTAAGTCTCCCAACATCTAGAGAGACAAAGATTTTATTGTCATTTAAAATATACTTATTCTAATCAGAGTAAGCAAATTTATTCAAATTCTGGTCATTTGGGAATGTCTTCATGACAAACTCAAACTCATGAATTAATAATGTTTTGCTACATGTCCAGTATTAATCTATTAATCACTGCTGTTGAGTTTGTTTACTCTATAATATATAAATAGATGGAGGGTGTCATTATCCATTGTTCCATTTAGCTGGCGATCAATGAGCATGCTAAGTAAATTCAACTTGCAAACTTTTTATATGCACCAACCCAGAGGTGTTTGAATCTTAGTATTATTTTAGTTTTTAATATTTCATTCATTAGGACTCTTTAGCTTTAGGTAATACAACCAACTCAACATATTTTAAGCAAAGTATTAGTAATTAATAGTTTGTGAAGGATACTCAGAAATTTCTTAGAAGTTGCAGTAGAATATAGCAGTCTCGTGAAATGGAAAAACAAACAAAATTTAAAAAACCAAACCAAAAAACAAAACAACAACAACAAAAAACCTCACAGCCAAGAAGTTCTTCTGTTTCTCAGGTTCTACAGCATGCTCATTTTGCTGTAGACCACCTCTGTCATTGTATGTGTACATGGCAGAAATCATGACTTCCCAGTACACCTGAGTTTCAAATCCCCTTTATTCAGAGATAGTTCAAACTAGAATTCCCAGAAGAAAGCTGATGACCTATTTAATTGAGCCATCTGTCTATCTCAGCTTAATCAGCTGTGGCTGGACAGTGAGAAAGATGCCTGACATTTAATATAACTAGAGCTGTTGTAAATCCACAAAAGGGGAAAATCGTCACAATTTGATCATTCCAAAGGATGTCTACTCTAAACTAGTTTAGTCAAATTATTATTGTCTTGAAGAGAGGTAATGGAAAATAGAGAAGAATGGATTTAGAATTACTAAAGTAACGGCTCTAGTCCAGTTACAGAAGTTTACATACTAGAAGAGTGGAATCCAGGTTGGGAAGTCACTTATTTAAAATCATGCAACAAATTAGTGGCTGAGTCAAATCAAAACACTGATGAATTGGTTTCCAGTCTTGTGTTCTCCCTAACAAAGTGCTTCTCAAAGAACTGAATCCAAATGATTATTTTTGAGATTTAACAAACTAGAAAGATTAAAAATAATTAAACTGAAAATCTGAAGCAAAGATAAAACTGCCCAGCAAGATTTTTTTTTTAATTTTGTGGGATTGAATAAGCATAACGTTTAACTCATTACAACACTGAGGGAAATGAAAATTATTTATTTTGGAATTTACATCTCAACTGCTGTTTAATCTCTTAAACATTGCTGAAAGACTCACATCTTCAAGCCCTCTAAGCCCACTGGATTATCACTATTATTTGCCCAATCATTTACACAATTGGAATGTGATATATAGAGAAATGTTTCCTCTATACTCCTATGGGGCTCCATTTTTATCTTATTATGGATTTATCACACTGAATTATACTTATACTTGGTCTTGTGTTTATCTAAATTTCTCGGGGGCATCTGCCTCATTCACCTCTGTATTACCAACCCCTAGCACAACCAGATCATAAGGAGGTATACAATTCATATATGTTGAATAAGTGTAATAAGTAATAAGATGGCTAAAGAATGCTGCACAGGGTCCTGTGTGATTTTCTCAGGTCATATTAATGTACTGGGCTGTGAGATGATCCATAAAAGTAACAATGTGGCCAGTACATTCTTGTCCTGTGTTATGATTAAGTCCAATAGCCATGGTCAGACTCAAGGAGACCGAAATATATTTATGAGATGGACAGGCCAATTGCCAATTGGATTGATTATGTCCTAGTGATGGGTTGTTGGAAAAGTCATAATGCATTTTTGCACAGAAAAACATGGGGAAAAAAACCATGTCATGACTTTTCCAACAACCCAATACATATCTCGAGGTCAAAAACCCAACCACAGTTAAAGGCCAGAAACTTTTGGACTTAGTAAGCACTCAATGTGTGCTTGTCAATACATTTATTTCTGAAGGACCAGATGGTAACAACAATGATTGTGTAACTATCCCCCCAAACTCATCCCACAGTGCCTTTTCTTTTTATGCATCTATTTATTATTATTATTTTATACATTCAATCACTATAAATCATTTAACTTGTATAGAGAATTTACCCAACATGAAATACATTTCAGACCAGTCCAGTTGAGAATACTATACACATCATCATCAACAGGTAATAAACCAAACCACTTAGGGAGGAAAAAAAGAAAATGGAGAGGTAAGACATTTGTGAGACCACAGTGCCTTTTCTAACCTTTTACTCAGCTATAAAAGAAATAATATTAAAATTTTCAGATGATGCCACAATATTAATATCTAGTATACTCTTTTGACATATTTCTTTATCTCTGTTCTTTAAAACTAAGCACTAGGCCCAGTTCATGGCCTGGTGATCATGACAGTCAGATCCCACATGGCTGTCTGTGTATTTTAAATGTTGAACTCTGTGGCTTGAAAAACTCATAGAGAGTATGTGTGTGCATGCCCAAAATCCCCAAGGGAGGGAGAGAGAGAAGGGATTTCAGTATGACTCTTCTCCATGACAATACTATCTCCTCTCTCTGTTTCTCTCTGACAAGTACACAAGACACCTCACACACACACACACACACACACACACACAGACAAACCAAAACCACAACAAAAACAACCCAAAAACTAAACACTAACATTAATGGCACAGTATAACCAATACAAAGAAAATATAAATTCACTCCTTTGATCCATTGACATGGATTCTGAAGCTTCATCTTTTTGTGTCTGTTTAATTTGTTTTAGAGAAAAAGTACTGTGAGTCTTTTGATGAGCAACATATTAGTAGACAGAAAAACTGACTTCTACCTACTATGTAGATGAAAAGCATGTGTCCTTGGACTATTGTCATTGATGGGTTTGCATTTGTTTCCTCATCTACTGAAGGTGAAGAAAGTACATAAAATGAGAAGAGTTCATCAGGAGTGAATGCCTTGGTATGGATAATTATACAGGTTATTCAGAATGTTTTTTTCTTATTTTACTACCAGTGGAATAGCAAGAGGTAAGTTGTGGTGTTAGAGAGTCTTGATTTTGTAGCCAGTCTCTTTCAAGAACCCTGGCTTTTCTCATGTATAAAAGGAGACTTGTAACTCCTAGTTTGTAAGATTCTTAGGTTTTATGAAAAACAAAATAAAATATTCTTCACTTGGCTAGTGGTACATATTAAAAAAGCTCAGTAACTGTTCTCATTACTCAAAGTAGCAGTTCTCCACTGTAGTATTATGACATAATCATATTTTCAATGGTACTCAAAGTGGTTTGTAACTAAATACAGTTACAAAGTTTGCAAATGACTCACTTCTTATATATAACTAATATATATTCGAGATTTTCTCTTAATAATATTGCTCTTACTTGGGTTCTTTTTTTCTTTATTTATTTGAGGATTTTGCCAAAGGGTGTACACACTC